GCTCAGCCACAAAGCCACTGAATTCCTGTAATCTGTAAATTGCTGTCATTGCATCTCCAGGTGGTACAAAGAGTGAGGATGCCCCTGTAATCCCACAAATTGGAGTCAGGTGAGCAAAAGATCCCCCACAAGGCTTCTCAACCACTAAAAGCAGCTGGCAGTAGCTTAGCTAGCTAGTACTTTCAAACAAGCAGTACTTGTAAGACTAAAGCAGAGGCTAAGATGGAATTTCGGAGGTGCCCCTTGAAAACGATATGTATTTTGTTGATGAAGGAAAGGGAAATAGCATACAAGGGGTGAGAGCCACAGTTGTGTCTTTTAAAAATGTGGATATATTTGTCTCTGCTCACTGAACTTGAAAGAGTAAGGGCTGTATTCTTCCCTTGGGAACAAACTGTACCCTCAAAAGGCAAAGGAGAAAGGCAGGATGCCTCTGTCCTCAGACTTTCTCAAGAGAAGAGAAAAGCTAAACAACATTTACTGTCTCCTCTCTAGTCTCCCATTCTCCTAGAACATGCAGCCCTGATAGTATATTCCCCGTATTTTTTCCAAATATTTGAGAAATGGTGTGTCTACTTAGATGATGGGCAGAGAAGAGGCATGACAATTCATTAAATGATGGACTTACCTTAGCTTGCAGACAGTTGCTGGTGGGCTTCTTGCAAATATTATCTATTATGTACCTAATTTGCTATTTCACTAGCCATGTTCACTGCAAAAAGTGTTTTGTTATGCTTACTATCCCACCAGAAAGAGAAGTATGTGGGGAAAGAGCCCCCTGCACGTCACTGAGTTGCAAGGGAGCTTCAACTGGGGAAGACAACACAGAATGCAGGGTGCTGGAGATGAGAATCAGGTTTTCTTAAGGTCTAAAGCAAACTGGTTAAAGGTGCTTTACTGAAAATAATCCAGTCAACTAAAAATAGTTGTGTTTCTATCCCCAAATCATTACTCTTTTTTTTTTTCTGTAATCAATAATATGCATGTACTTAAAGCCATCACGGCTAAATAAAACTTGAGGTCACAGCAATTTTGCCAAGGTTTATGATATTCCCAGGGATGTGCAGGCATTAATACGGAGATTAAGTTTCAACTCAGATGCTTTCTTTCCTTGCTCCTGGAAAGCACCCAAAGTCCTCAAAGAATATCTTAAGATAGACTTCACAGCAACCTTATTTGCTGAAAAGCTTTCAGGCTGCCTACACACGAGGAGCAGTAGAAGTGCTTTCTAAAGAAACCAACTTGCATTGGAAAATAAATGCTTTCCCCACACAGAAAAAACAAGTGTAAAAGCAAGCTGTGTTGCTTTGGGCACTGAAATATGGACACAAAGAGATTCAGATAGACCAAGTGAGAGCAGCAGCTCTCTGTGTCAGTACAGTGTAATGCAACAGGACCCTGATCTCTCATTAAGGGCTCTAAGCACTACGGCAATACCTGTTGACAAACACCTGTGTCTTTAAAACAAGTATGTGACGTGAATATAGAAAATAGTTTGGAATTTTATCTATTGTAAAAGATCTGTTGCACAAAACAGGTTGTATTTACATATCAGACACAGAAATTCTCTAATTGCAAAAATAAATAAATAAATAAATAAAAATGGCTGAAAGATGAAAAAGCAAACCGAATAATAGTGAGGAAAGGAAAAAGGAAAAAAAAAATTAATCAAAACAGATTAACAGGAATGGTGCCCCTCTACACATTCTGTTTGAAAGGACACTGCCCAGCAAACAGTAGGCTCCCAGACACTCCATCAGCAGCACTTCCAGTTTTGGGGTCATTTGTGTTATGGCTCAGACCCATACAGGATGGTGCCACTTGGTCCAGATCCAAGAAAGCACTTGGACTAATGTTCAGTTTTCAGTTTGTAAGCAGTTCCACTGAAGTCAAACTTCTCGTGACTTTAAAAGATGAGCATTTACCTAACCTCTCTGTTGGATGAGTACCAGGGAATAATATAGCTAATTACGAATTCCTAAATGTCTCTATTCAGGTTGCAAAGGTATTTTTAAACACTCGTTTAAAGCCCTTGCTCCTAATTAAGAAAGAATTAGTTTGGATCTGCTTTCTTAAAGTAATTAAATCATCAGCAAAATCCTCACTCAAGCATTTTTTTTCCCACATTTTCAGTCATCTTTTCACTGTCAAGAGAGCCTGAAGCCTTTCAGAAGGTGAATACACAGACTCTGATGCAGCCAGTCTTGGCCCCAGGAGCTGGTGTTAAAAAAAAAAAGTAATAATAATTATCTATCCTAAGGCTCAAAATAAAAGCACGAGTAGTGTCAAATTTCCATGTGCTCTGCAACTTCAGGTCTCTCATTTCCACTCTCCTGTGGTGACTTTACTGGATTGCCATCTGCTTGTTCTGGAGGATTCTTACTGCAGTAGGGCAAGAGCAATATGAGAATTGGATGCAGTGTGGACTGCAGCAAAAAAATCTTAACTCTGGATGAAGGAAATCTGCTCCCCTTTCACTACATCCCTCATACTTACATTGGCCCCTCGCTCTGCAGTCTCTGGTTTTCATCTCTCAATGTATAAGAACTTCTCCCTATTATAAGCAGTTCCTTAAGTAGTCCTGGGAGCAGATCAGTCTTCTGCTAGCTCAGCTAGAGCTGAATTGGAGGGAATGCACTTCAGCTCACGAAACAGCTTCTGCTATAAGCTCATGGGAACCAATCCCTGAGATTCCATATCTGATACAAAAGCCCTTTCATAAAGATTTTTATCCAACACGTTTAAACAGATCTCTTCATTCATCCTTGAATTAAGAATAAAAGCAATCTGATAAAAAATATATAGGCAATATGCCAAAGCAGAAGCAATAATTCACTGGCCTTGAAATATAGTTTTTTTTACTGGAAATATTACCAAGAGAAGGAGCGTGTGTCATCACAAAAGAAATTGAGGTTTTAAGGCACTTTTCAGAATAGATTTTGTTCTTTATTATTGATTCATAAATCTAGAATTTCTTGGCTGCCAGTAGATAGACAAAGATCACTGAATGAGGACCTTATAAAATCAGCGTGACTTAGAAAAAGAACGAAGATCAGAAATAGTTTAATTTCCACAGCACAATGGGCATTCCAAGCTGTTCCCCTTTAGCAAGAGACCAGTAGAAAACCAAAACTGAAACCCAGAAACAGCCATATATGAAACACCCTCAATCTTTTTGTCCTTACCTTTGTTTCAATAAGCCAACCAACATTCTACAGCCCGTCCTTAATAGACATTTCATCTTATTTGCTGCCCATTTTCAAACTATAGCCACAATGATTCTGACCTTACCCCTCAGAAAGTTTAAGGGAGTTACAGCCTGGGAACTGTCACAACAGGATTGGTATCCAAGCCAAAACTCATTTGCATTATAGTTGATCAAATCAAAACTCAACAAGAGACCAAGTATTATCTGCATGAAGGGCAAGAAGGATGTCATGTCACAGAAAACACATTGCAAAAACTTTTCTTGGCAATACTAAAGGAACTGCAGAACCTTGCTAAAGCCCTAAGTCAAATAACCAGACAGTGCAGACAGTGCTATTCAGAAGTTTTTCTGAATTTCACCTGCATAACAGAAATGGCCATGCAACATTTTAGGAGAATATGGATTTTTAGACCAAACCAAACTCTTTTTTTTCTTTTTTTTTTTTTTTTCTTTCTTTCTTTTTTTTTTTTTTTTGGATAGTAAAACATGCTCTGAGATTATAAAAAAAGAATTTGTTTTCACTCAATATTTACTCCTCAGAAATGGAGAGAACTCCAAGACAAGGCTTGGCTGCCATTAAAACATTTGCAGCAATGTAGATTCACCACTTTCCCATGTTGTGGTTTGTAAAAGGAATTAAAAAAAAAAAAAAAGCAACTCTAAAGACCAAATACCTCAACTTATCATCAGAACAAGGGAAAATATGATTGAAGTGTAACAACTGAATGATGAAGTAGCATTTTTAAACACTATTATCTAAAGATTTTTTTCCCCTAACTCAAAGTCCCTCTTTACAAGGTCATGTATGATTGAGAAGCAGCTTGTGTTCTGACACAGAACAAATGACAGTCCAGGTAATCCATTCTTTCATAATGGCTGTCAGATCAAATCTGCACAATTCTCTTTTACATTTTTTATCCTTCTAGCAACCTGTATAAGCTCAGTCAAGGGCCTTAATAAAGAGATGGTGTCCAGATCAACAGTCATAAAACTGAAAGTTTGTTAGCTACTTCAGCAACAACGCATGGGAGAGTGATGAATTTATTGCTGCTGCAATCTATTAGAGAATGTCATAGAAACACAAAATCATTTGAGTTGGAAGGGACTCTTAAAGGCCATCTGATCCAACTCCCCTGCAATGAATAGGGACACCTCCACTAGGTCAGGTGCTCAGTGTCTCTCCAGCCTGACCTTGAGTGTCTCCAGCGATGGGGCACCCACCACCTCACTGGGCAACCTGTGCCAGTGTGTCATCGCCCTTATTGTATAAAACTTCTTCCTTAGATCTAGTCCAAATCTCCCCTCTTTTAGTTTGAAACCAGGGAGATGGAGCTTCAGAGCAGCTCTCAGTAAGCACAACTTACTGATTTCAATCAAGTCAAGAAGATTTTCATCTGCTGAAGAACTGGTCTGACCTGTATAATAAAGACTGCTGTGCACAGCAAAAGCTCAAGGGCTGAAACACTCTGAAATCCAAGCATCTAGACGTACACACAAGGTAAAATTCTAACTCCAAGATTTCTGCAGATTTCCGTGGATGTCAGCATGGCAGGAACTTTCCTGGTGGCAGACTGTAGGGTAATCCATTGGCATCACTGCAGCTATACTGATTTATTCTAGTTTAGGTCCTGTCCTTAAACTTAGGAGGTTGTGGAGTACACATTTGTGACCCAATCCATTATCATGGCACGTGGAAGTGATAGATATAAAAGCAGCATAAATGAAGATTTTATCATTTAAATAAAATGGAGGGCTGTTATTTGTTTTTTTTCAGTTATCATTCATTTCTTACCTCACAGATACGAGCAAGCTATTGTTCAACTTCAGCTCTCTCAGATTAGGTAGATAGGCACCTACGGGATCAGAATAAAGAATCATCTTGCACACCTGGTGGTAGGATAAAAGAAACTTCTGACAATTACAAGTTGAAGCATCTTATTTTACCTACATTTCTCATCTGTTCCTGTCAGATCTGTGCCGGACCCCTTCTAAGAAAATTAATGAAATTATTTCACTTAGAAAATATTACATCCCTTGCATTTTTGCAACATACATGTAGTGTCTGCTTGACAGACTAATTATATTTTTGAAAACCCTCTCTGACAAATCTGATAGAGCACGTTTCCAAAAAGACAACAAAACTTGGCTTCGTGGCGACTGTTTTCTTTGTTCTGATTGATAATGCATATTGACTATCAACTGAGTGATAACTCAAACAGCTGAAGATCAAGAACACTTTAGATCATAGCAGTCCATGGATATAAGCTCCTGGCACAGGAAACATTTGCTATTGACAACAGCAAACTTGCCCACCAGCAGAGTTTACCGATGGCAAGAATCCTCAAGTATAATGCATCACCATGGAGAGGTAGCATGAATTTTAGGCAGACTGGATCAGTACTAAGACACTAAAACCTGTTCTCGACAGTAATCTCTCTGGCAAAGGACGATTTAGCATGACATTCTAACTATCCAGCTCTTTGCAAAGGATCAAAAAAGGAATTTGAATTAAAAAAAAAAAAAAAAGGGAGTAGAATCTCACAAGCAAACAAAGAAAACCATGCTGTTCATTCCATTTCCCCAAACAGTGTTTATGGCAAAAACATTTTAATAAATCATGTTTCAGAAGAAGCATTATCTTCATCTAATGCTGTTTGGGAGTGATTATAATCCACATACTGAATTTCATGCTATACTGCAAATCTTTAATGTCATTTGTTTGCAAAGCTCTTTGGAAAATAGTAAAAGCTCATTGTGCATTTTTTTAGTCTTATTTTTAATAATTTTCCATAACACATAGCACAAATTATAAACACACCACCCTCATCCTGCAAGGCACACATTTTCATGTCAAATTTTATAAAGAATGCCAAAGAAAAAAAATACTTCAGAGTCCCAACAGAGGAGATACCACTCTCTCTGTTAATTATTCACAGCAGTTGTAAGTGCTACTGAGCAAAGACTTCTGTAGACATAATCCATGTGCTAAGAAAGACCCCAAGGGAAAAAAAAAAACAAAATGTAGATGATTAAAAAAAATGCTATTTTGTTACCGATAAGAAACCTGAGGCATTAAGAAGCAAAACAGGCTTTAAAAGTCAAAGTCTGAGAAGTTAAGAAGATGAGTTGAAGAGAAATGCGTCTTGTTCAAAAGAAAACTTTCTACTGAATATATTTGGGGTTGGTTCAGGAAAAATATGCTATTAAAGGATAGAAGGAGGCCATGGGGTGTGGCAGCCAGTGTTACAGGCTGAAGACATAATTTTCACATCTGGTTATTTCATTACTGTAACACAATCCCCCATCTCAAACATTTTATTGTACTTTGGCACCATCGACCCCTGGGCTCTGTAGTAAGTAAAAAAGAAGCGAATGCTATGTGCGGTACTGTGATAATCTGCCTGGAGGATTTAAATGAAGTATTTCTCTAAAAAGCTTATGATCTGGTACTGGTCTGATTGAGAACTGAGAGCAGCATGCAGTGCTATCTCTTCTGTCTTCGATTCCCTTTTACTAAGTAGCCTTTTTGTAGAATCATAGGTTGGAAAAGATCACTAAGATCATCTAGCCCAACCATCAACCCATCCCCACCATGGCCACTGACCCACGAGTCTCAGTGCCATTTCTTGCAACAGCGCACGAGTGTTAAATTCTTCAGCTGTACTATTCCAGTGGAACAAAAAAGCTAAATGAATAGTAGAAATAAAAATGTAAGGTAGGTGCTTGGTACCTGAATTTTTTAATAAACTTTAAATCAAAATAGGACCCAGAATGAAAATATTTTCATGTAAATGTTAGTTTGGCCCTCCAACGCAACGTGCATTTGTAGGGAAAAGCCTGACTATGCTATAAAATGAGCATTCCCCTGCAAGCACCTACCTTGGAGCTGCTTTCTTTAGAGCAACAGACTGCATTTTTCAGATTACTAGCTCCATTTCTGGATAAAAAAAAGATATATATACATTCAGCTACATTGCCTTAAGTGCTGAACTTCATGAGCAGAATAGCAACGCAGATCTCATTCTGAGCTGCCTTGGTATAGCAGGTGACATTTACATAACTCACTAGCACAAAAGAGAAAGCAAAGTGCTGGCTTTATTATATTCTAAAAGCCACGATATCTGTATTAATTAAACTTGTTGTTTATATAGCAATGCATTATCTGCAGACAAACCCAAGCTAGCTGTTGTCTAGCTACCTGAGGTCATATCTCACAAAAAGACACACCACTGTAGGGTTTAACATAAATCCCCTGCTGAAGTATTTCTGATTGATGGAGAGGTTGCCCAAGCCCTGCTGCAGCCCTTGCTGTTGTGTCTTCTCAGCAAAGCTTGTTCATACCAGCTAAATTACCAGGTTGCTCAGAGAGGTGGCAGATGTCCCTGGAGACACTCAGGGTCAGGCTGGAGGGGCTGTGAGCACCTGATCTAGTCTAAGTGTCCCTGTTCATTGCATGAAAGTTGGGCCAGACGGCCTTCAGAAGTCCCTTCTAACTCAAACCGTTCTATGATTCTATGAATTAAAGGCAGCCTGGTTAGGAAGGCACGTGTTGGAGAGTGAATGTCTTTTGCCTTTGCTTCTTACAAAGAAATACTGACAAAAAGAGCAGAAGCAAACAGATAAGACAAACTGGTATGAAAAATAACATATGCCTATTGCTGAACCTTTGGCAGAGCTTTTCCTTGATAAAACGCTCTCTGCCGAGCAGCAGTGCAGTGTTGCACAGTCCCCGTGCAGCAAACAGCTGCCTCACCAAAGAGAAGCAACAGTCTCCAGACACATAATCAACTTAGACTGGCTGCCAGAAGGCAACAATTGAATAAGAACCAGTGAACAGCATTGTGGGTAACTTGATTTGTAGCTATTAAAATCACTTAGAAATAAGAGAACTATGTAGTGTCTTAAACGACTATATCCAACCATTACTTTCAGCAGGGATTTCTACGAACCGGTCATCAAAATGGTCCCAGATCTGTCAGCAATCAAAACTGAAGGGATAAGCTAATAAAAAGGAAATAGTCCATCTGCTCAAATAGAAACTGAAGCCTACACACAGTAATAGAGAACAAAAGTAAATCCAAATTCCACAGAGCTGCGTGTAAGACTTGCCAGTGAGGTTCAGTGCTTTGCCTGTCATTCAGCAAGGTGCAGTGAGAACCAACAGCTACAGATTTCAGCAGCTATCCTGAATCCCACAGAGATACTCAAACTCAAGTTCTGGCATGAAGCTTTTCATTATTTTAATGCTGATCACAGGAAAACATTTTAACAATGGCCTTTTACTGTTTAAGCCTCCACCCTGTCCCTAAGAAATACAACTGTTCCTCTATATCACACCTCTGCGTAAGGCTGTCCTGACAAACTGGAAAAGGATGAAACACGATGCTTCCAAGTTCACCATGGCCCAAAGTAGAATGCTAATAAAAAAACCCCTCAAAGTGTTTAAAACTACTCTGGAAATTTTGCTAAGATGATACAGGACGTCAGTGCTTGTGATACACTCACAACCTCTCTGGATGTCTCTATTGCTCATCACACCAGAAAAGCCTTCCCTTCTGTCAGGCTTGAACTTCTCTCATTGTGGTTGGACTGCTCCTTACTCTACTCACTCCATTTATCTAGCTCCCTGTGAACAGGAACAGGAACGGTCTGGCAGTGCACTGATTCAGGGGAGACAGCTGGCATGCGGTCAGCCTTGCTTACACCACTCACATTGAAGGTGCAAACTGTCCTGCCATACCCCTTGATGTTTCATTACTCTCAAAAGATCTGCAGCTGCTGTTTTTTTACAGCTCCTAAAGTTCAACTCCTGGTTCAAAGTGGGACATAAGATGGAAATTGTTTGCAGTGTGGGAACAGTGCTCTGCATTTTGTAAAAGCTGCAAAAACTTATTCAAAGGAAGCAGAAGGAAAGGGATTTATTCCAGTAATGGGAAGGAAAGGGAAATGCAGAGGAAACGTGAGAAAAGAGAGATCAGTGACATGTAAGTTAACTTGTTCTGCTCTTCTGCTCTAACAATACTTCACAAATCCTACAAGATGAAGTGCAGCATTTCCGTATGAGCGCATGAGGAATAACAGACAGTAAGGTAAAGTTCAAAAGAGGAAATGGAAAGGACTACATATTTAAAATAATACCACAACACAGAAGTTACAGATAAGGTAAGACATTTTGCTAGCTTGTCACAGCTAATGCATAATGACATGGGAATGGGAGCACCACTTTGGAGCACTGGTAGAAATGGTGTAATAAGATTTTCTTATCAACCAGAGGAAACAAGACTGAATAGATTATGAACTCTGAAAGAAACAGATGCAATTTGACTTAAATTACCAAGTGCCTATCAAAAATAAACCTGTCTGAAAAATAAACTGAAAAATCGATACACATCATAGAATCACAGAATCATTCAGGTTGGAAAAGATCTCTAAGATCATCTAGTCCAACAGTCCACCTACCACCAATCTTGCCCACTAAATAATATTCCTTAGTACCACATCTGCATGTTTATTGAGCACCTAGAGGGATGGTGACTCCACCACCTCCCTGGGCAGCCTGTGCCAGTGCCCAACCAGTCCTTTGGAAAATTATTTTCTAACATCCAGCCTGAACCTTCCCTGGTGCAACTTGAGGCCATACATAAAATGGCTGTGCAGTTCAAAACAAAAGCCCCCTTCGCTGTACTTCCTTTAACTGTTCTTCATATCAGAAGGCCCAAAGTGGATTGGCTGTTACATTATTGTCACTTGCACACCTTGGTGCTCTGCATGGAAAAATGAACTGCTTGTCTGAAAATATCAGCACTGACTTTCGGGGGTGCAACTCCCTTTGGTACATAAAATATTGCCCTGCAATAGTTACTCAGCTTCAGTGCAGGTGAAGATGGACTTGGTGTACTCCTGTCACAGCTGGTTGCTGGTTCCAGCTCTGGAAGAAAGGAACATTACACACTCTCAGTGTTGACTCTGCTATCGAAGAAATTCCTTCACTGCTTCCTTACTTCTCTTGAGCAGAGATGATGACACAGAGGTGAATTACAAGCATTCAGAGCCTCCTGGGGCTCATCAAATGATGTATCTAGGGGAGCTTCCTCAAGCACATTCTCCAGCACAGCTTGATGAGGTAGCACAGCAAACAAATGCAGGAGACTGGCAGCATTGGCAGCCTGATACCACTAGTGATTTCCCAGCCACAGGGGAATCTTTCAACAGAGACAAACTGAACTTTGGCTACTCTGTTTCACTAGAATAGCATCAAATACTCTAGAGGGCAACTTAATCAGTAAATGCTCATTTAAGTCCTTCAGGCATGTCATGAGGAATTTGTTCAAATTAATTGGCATTAGACAGAAATCATAGATTGGTTTAGGTTGGGGGGGCCTTAATGATCATCAAGCTGTGTCCCTCTGCCTTTGGTAGGGCTGCCACCCACCAGATCAGGCTTCCCAGGGCATCACCCAATCTGGCTTTCAATTCTTCCAGGGACGGGGCATCCACAGCTTCTCTGGGCAATCTGTTCCAGCACCTCACCACTATTTCCCTTTGTCCTATCACTTATCATATCACATAAAAAGTCAGCCACCCTCCTTGCTTGTAGGCTCCCTTCAAGTACTGGAAGACCACAGTGAGGTCTACTTGGAGCCTTCCCTTCTCCGGGCTAAACAAGCCCAACTCCATCAACCTTTCTTCATAGGAGAGGTTCTCCAGCCCTTTGAGCATCTTTGTAGCCCTAGATGGTGTCATCCATCCATTGCTGTAGCGTTCAGTCTTAGAGTCTCACAGAAGAAAACAGTAATCAAGAAATGAGAGGTACCAGGAAGAACATGTTTCAAAAGCTCTCAAGCACAACAGTACTTTACATTTACATACAGTTTCCAAGTCCCCAGTCCTGATTAAATACAGTAAAGGAAAATTTGAGAAAGAATTATTTTCTTACCAAAGTTCCCCAAGCTGCTCTCTCTTGTATCTACTCGCATCTCTAGGGTCTTTACTTGCTGCAGATCATCCATCCCTGTCAAAGCTTTCTGTAAAAATAAGCAGGGATATATATGTATTCTCACACAATGTGCCAGATGATACAGGAACAAAAAAGTGTAGAAAGGTTTTCAAGCAGTGCTATGTCAGCACGTAGACCAGGTCAGAACAGTTAGACTCATGATAACATTCAAATAAATCTAGTATTCAAAGAGCTTTCTTTCTAGCAGCTCTGAATTATTTCAGCTTCATATAACTTCTATAGTGCTCACAAAGTCAAGGCAGGGCACTACATTCAAGTTGCAAATCAACAAAAGATTATCATGCCAATTAACTTCACTTAAACTACATGTCCACATTGTAAGATGTGTAATGTTTTACAAATCCTCAGAAGATAAGAAATATTACCCTTGGTGTCACCAGTAATCAAAAAGCTGCTAGATAGTAAAACTCAAGAAAGCACAATGCTTAGCTTTTTATTCCAAAACTACCAAAAAGAAAAGAAGATTTCAGCTCAAGACAGTCATAAAATGCTTGCATTTCTGAAGGAACACAACACTAATTACAAGAATTATAAATTTCTTAAAGAACTAGTCAATGCCAAAGGAAGTCTCCAAAATCTTTCATTGTTTCTGCAAAATCTCTGTGATAGAGTCAACCACTGTATTAAGCGAGGGTATGTGTGTGTATGCATCTAACACAGGTTCTTTCCTTAAATATCTAGAAATTGGCATTGATACATTCATGCAGATTTTGCTCTGCCTTTTGCCACCGTATTTAAGATGAAGAAACAAAGTCACTCAATGACATCGACATGAAGGAAATAAGTTTTCTTACAACTAGAAAGTCAGAACACTCTTTAGTTTGTTTTCATTTGGAGGTTAACACTAATAAAGGGGAAATGATTCATTAGAAGGGAATTTGTGTAGGACCACCTCTGTTTATGAGTTTTTGGAGGGAAAAATAACCACAAGAACATCTAGTTCATTTCTGTAGAGAAAAACAGCAGTGGCAACATTCCCACTCATCGAGTAGAATTCATATTGCTCACAGTTGATCAGTTTCATTCACTCTAATGGCTCTATATTCTCTAACAAACAAAGGACCAAAACACTCTGAGTGAAACTGTGATGACAACTTACAAAGGCATCTTATCAAGACTAGGGCTGATGAAACAGCTGACCATCACTCCTTAAAAAAAAAAACCTCACATCCCGTGTAAGGCTTTGAGTTAAGACTCCTCAGAAACAGAATTATCCAAAATCTTCACCTGTTTTCCAATCACCTTTCAGAAACTGTGTTTAAAATTATTGTTGATCTGAATTTTTAACTGATTTTAAGCTTCTGGCCTTCCTTGCCTTTACAGTAGGGCATGACAAACAAAGATCTAAGGCAAAAACACCTCAGACCTCAGTGGCATCCAGGAGCATGCTTTCTATTCCCAGACCCCAGAAGAACTGTTTTGCTCCTTCAAAGGCAGCAAGCATGCCTATTATGGATGGCTTTCTCCCCCAAGTAAACACAAGATCCTTTACTGCAATCCATATTTTGCAGTCATCCTTTTCAGCAGACAACACTATTTGTCATGTAGCATGAGAGCACATGAGAAACAAGAGCTGGCTGACATCCTGGCACACATCCACATGCTCAAATGCTGGGCTTAGATGCAAGCTCATTGTCATGAAAGGCAACTCCTGACAAATACCTCCCTCGTCCATGTCAAAATAGCCTTAATAGCCCACTTTATTAAAAGACTGAATAGAAAGTGGTCCCAGAACAATAACCTTTGGGACATCCATTTTATCAGTATAGCAGCAGAAGGCCCTGGCACCATGTGGGGCCTTTGCCTTTTTCCATTGCTCCCTCCAAACTATCCTTTCCCTTACCATATCCCAGACAGCCTCCTTTCACTACTCTGACCACAAGAGATGCACTTCTGCTCCTTGTCCTCCTCTTTCAGAATCAAAGAATAAAAGCCACACAAGGTTATATTTTCCTCTTCTAGATCTCCCTATTCTTTCTCTTCCCACGTGGGGCTACCAAACTTTGTTCTTTTTTTCCTCTTCCAGATCCACCATTTGTTCTTTTCCTCCTGGCTGAGAGATGAGCCACTTAATTCACCAATATTTTGTGCTGCAACAAGCAGAGTTGTGGCCCCAGCACTGTAAGAGGTTGTTAACTGCCACCACTGGCTCTTTGAACTATAGATAGCTGCTTGAAGCATGTGTTAAACAAATGCACCAGACTCCATCTGTTCACAGTTCCCACTTCCCTGTGCCACTTTTCCAACAATCACCAGGAAAAGCACACTTTTTCCAGCTGATGCTGAGGGAATTCTTAGAGAGTTTGAAACTGACAAGCTGTGGGATGCAAAAGCCATCATACCATGTGAAAGTAACACGAAATGAGGATATGAGCTCATTACAAAGGCTCTAGAAGCACAAGGAGCCCAGGTGTGGCTGAGAGCTGGTTAGCAAGCAAAGGGTCAGGGCAGAAGAAGGTTCCTGGAGAGGATAGCTGGGACACTCCTACTCCCTAGGCACTTTTCCTGGCGTAGTGGTGCAGATGGAAGGGTCTCAGAAGTCACAGCCACAATTCTGGCACTGAGAAAGGAGGGAGCAAAGGAAGGACGTGAAAGCATTTAAAATAAGAAGATAATAAGGACCTTTCTTTTATGCTGATGTTTGATGTCAATGCACAGGAACCTTCAGGAAAGATTAAAAGGAGGGGTACACAGAAGGAATTTGACTGCTGTTAGGTTGTAAGAAAATCAGAGCAAAACACTGCCAGGGATGATCAGATTGGACAGAGGGACATCTGGCACTGTGTGGGTGACAAGCTGTGCTAAGGCACTATGCAGCCCTTCACTCCAAGGTTGTGCCAGCTCTAGGACAAGCTCCTGCCCTAATTCAGGAGTCCCACTGTAGCATCAAGTAATGGCTGTCTGCCCAAAGCTCAAAAGGCTGTGCTGGCAGCCAGAGACAGGACTCCTGCCCGTGCCCCAGGAACGCTTACAGCCATGAAGGTGCTGTGCCATCTAGGGTTTCCTTCTGTTGTTTACAGCTGTAAAGCATACAAGAAGGGACCAAGGATCTCCTCTAGGCAGAGTTGGATTTACATCAGAAAGATGACCTGAAAAAGCTAATTATAATTCCAGGCTGACTGCTGGTTTCCAGAGAAGATTCTGCCTGTCACATACCCACTGAGGTGGGTACTGGTTAGATAGAGGAGGCAGATGTCTTCTGAAGAATAAAACAGTAAAATCTTTCTTGCACACAATGTTCAAGAACGTGGTCTGACAACTTGTGCAGCACTATACTCCATCATAAACCTTCTTATTTGGAAGAATAAATTCCTACAGAAAAGCACGGCACAGTTCCTTGAAAAATCAACAATAAGTAAAACAAAGGCAAAGTTCATTTTATGGTTTTATACTTCCTTTGAAACAAGAGTAGAACTACTTTTTCACGAGATCATGCAAAAGTTATTGGCAGCTAGTTTAGCCAGTAGTTTAAGAAGCAACTCCAAAATAGCTCACAAAGCACTCCCATCATACAAAACGTCTGGCCAACACCTAACTGGAGAGCATGTGCCCATCTGGAAAGCTTCTCTTCTGACTGACAAGAAAAGCCACAAGCATTCTATAAAAAACTGCAAGTGAAATGTTTTTCTGTGTTTGTAGAGCTTCCCTATCTGGGAATGCTGGGAAAGTCACCTGGGGATACTGGGAAATCCGGTTCAAGTCCCACTTGCAACTCCCCATAAATGCCTTAATTGGAAGTAGTATCTGTGCAATTAAAGCTGGTGCATACAACTGATTTCTTTGCTCCTCACTAGATTTTTCACATGCTCCAAGAAAAGCAGAGATGTTGCTGAAAAGCATGTTGCACGCAGCTGCCTGAGAAGCGTTTCCAGCTGTGCGCTCATTTTGCTGATGCTGGTTAATTTGGCTAGCACAGGAATTCCTGAGCAGTGAGCTTATTTTCTTCTAATACCACACCTGTATGCAAATATCATTTTCATGTCTATTCATGCGTTCATTGCTTTTCACGGGGATTTTATTTCAAATTCCCAACCCAAGAATCATCTCCCCCTGCACAGGACAGTAACGTTGCTGCAACTATGACAACTCCTATTTCTTCCAAGAAGAAAACTACTAGAACATTAACAAGGTTTTAAGTACGGGGATCTTCTTGGCTGGTATCAAAACAACAGTGAAGAAACGACTAAAGTTTAAATGGAAATGGATACTTCAGCAAAGATGTCTTTTTTTCTCATGCTAAAGCTCCAAGTCACACTAACAGTTCTACACGCACAGGTCCCAGCCTTGTCCTGCCATCATTGGCTCAGCTCCTCGCTGACCCATCCTGGGGATTCACAGTACTGACGCTTTCCCTTTCTCAACTGCTAACCAGGATATGATGCTACAGGCTGCTAAGAGCTCTCTCTCTTACTATCATAAGCTTCAAAGGAAATGTGGGGCTTGGAACTATATGGGAGGTTTGGTGATTTCTCAGAAATAGCCTGTATCATTCCTACAGGAAGAAACACAAGCTCAGGTCCAACTCTCCCGAATTAACAAGCACAATATCATAGATATACCAATTTTTGCTTCAGATTTAAGGATTTACATTCTCACACACAGATACACAAAATATGCCACAGTATCAATTCCTGTTCTTAATCTAACAACTAGGTGCATAGTAAGTGGCTGCATCTCAACACTGCGTCACTAAACGCTCACAATTCAAGACTATTAAATTAGTTAAGCAGCTGTTACTATATGCAAATGAAAATCTGTTTTTAATAAAAGACGTGCATATGTGTATAAATATATGCATATAAATATATTCCTGACACGAAAATTTGAACAATAAAACATCAGATGTTTATGTAGCAGGATATATACAAGCCTTCACTGGAGTAAAGGTTTTAATATTAGGATAAGAACATATGAAATGAAAGCTCTGAAAATAAATGGGGCTTTGTAACTACTTTCCTACTCACAGTATGCTTACTACTATCTGTCATCTCAAGCAAGCTGTGCTTTCAATAGAAGATTGAACTAGAAGACCTCCAGAGGTCCCTTTGAACTTTTTTGGTTTTAAATCATTATAAATGGTTACCCAATTCTAGGGAAGGAATCAGAAGATCCAAATTAAATCCAGTTATGCCCATCTCCTGACTCCACATATCATAAATTATCAAGATTTTGCACCTGCTCCCTTGATCTCCAGTTTCTTCTCAGATTTATACAACTCGCAACCGTGAGGAAAACTTTCTGCCAAGCAAAAAAGGAAGCGATTGAGTCATTTCAATGTGAATCCAACCTGTTGTTCCAGGACCCTCCAAGATTTTCTTCTCCCCACGAGGACGAGTGCATACCATATGAAATTTACCCATACAACAAAACTAAACACCACTTCCGAACATGTGTTCCCAAGTTTAGAAAGCATGATTAATTGGAGCAGGATCAATAAACAGCGCAGTAAGAAGAGCATTGCCTTTCTTCTCTGAAGACCGCATACAAGTCATGGTGATAACAAAAGCTGAGGAACTGATTAGTTTTGAGAACATGACAATGTCTGGAAGATCATTTGTAAAATGAGTTTGTTCTGTGAATTTGATTGCCTGTTGCGGAAGTCAGAAAGAGGTTTTGTTTCCAGAAATGCAAGCAGGAGGTGGGGGGGGGGGGTCAATGAGTAAAAATTGGATTCAAGAAAGGTCAAACTCCAAATTTCAGGTCCACATATTTAATGGTAAATCTGTGTATTCCCCATTAAAAATTAGTTTTCAGAATAAAGGGAGAATGGGGAAGAATTTGCTCATGCTAACATTCTATAGCATATGACAACACATAAGCACAACACAAGCAAAGGCAGAGAACAGGGCTGTAAACATTAAACAGGACATGTACAAATGGAAAAGCAAAGAATACCTCTTGATACAGATGAAGATTAAACAGCACAACAGAAAATTGCCATCCATAGTAGTGGAAAGAATAAAAAGAACAGCAAATGATACCAGCCCTAGCATCAAACACTTTCAACCTGTAGCTTAGATGAAGAGTAATCGAATGCAAAAGGACAAAGTGTGACATTACAGCAGGAGAGATTCTAGCAAGCAAAGAAAAAACTACTGAAGATGTTATTAACCTGAGCAGAATATGGAATCACAAAGGATTTCAAAATGAACATTATGCTGGAATGAGGTCATAGAAAACCACAAAGCCCATAGAGAACAAGCATAAGATTTAAGCAAGGTGATGGTCTGCTGTGAAGAGGAAGAGAATAGCAAGGGAAAGTATTGAAGTAGTTGTCTGTCTCTTATGCTATGTCCATCAGGTGTCAGAAATCTGCCTGTACAACACTGCAGAACTATGTCCTTACCTTTATAGTATAACTTTAATAAACGTGTATTTTAAAAACCTGTTTGTTCCTTCTTAGAGCCCTTCAATGATTACAATCAATAACTTCTAAAATATTCACAGCTATTAAAATACAACCAAGAAGGCATTGCAAGTGTGTTGATTCAAGCAGAACCTTTCAAACCACTTGGTTATCAATGGCATGTGGTTCCTATACAAATAGGCACGTGATTGTTCTTCAAATTGAAGCAGTTGGACAGTATACCTATTTTTACATTTGAAAATGCAGAAGTAGTAAATCCATGGAAGCAGCAGTTTCAATTTGATCAGTGTATAAAGGTCAAAGAATAAATAAATTGGATATGTTATTAAAACAAGCCATAAACACTGTTAATGTATCCTTGACAATGTCATATAGTTTTTCCTCTCAACAGGAAGTATCTCTGCTATGCCAACACAAATGTCAGGTTCCAGGGCCAGGAGATAACTGCATCCAGAAAAATTAGTAGGACAGCATGCATCCATTTAAAAGAGTGAATTCCTTACAAATGTTAGTGCACACAATCTTAAATCGCAAGAGTCAATTAAAATCAAGAGTTCATTTATTATATGAACAATAAAGCTTTTCTTCCATTACTAAGAAAAATCTGGAACTGTTGAAGAATTTAACTTCTGATCTGCATAAAAAAAATACAACAAAACAACGAAATGCAGTTTCTTGGGATGTGGGTAACATTGCCTGAGCGTATGCTTTTCTGCTTATAATTGATTGTGAACTAAAAGGTTCAGAAAGAAAAAAACATACCAACTAAAGCACTTTCTAAGGGTTTCATTCAGAGTTTATTGAAATCAAAGGGCAGCTGTTCTGATTGCTCTAATGGGCTTCATTTCATATCCTAACATAACAGACTAATCCGTGAGCTTCCCATTGGGCTTATAAAGGGTACAGTAGGCCACAAACATATTACTGTGGTCAAACTCCGTATCAGGTTTTAAAAAAAGGCCAATAAGTTGTCAGCGGTTGACATGAGCCAAAGGAAAGTGAATGGCGTAGATCACAAGGCCACATACCAAATTTATTTCCAGAAAGTTTAAAATATACACTCTACAGAAAGCGATGTTCTTAGGAGAAGATTTGGGCACCACTGGAAGAGATATTCTGAGAGCAACTAGCTACCTAGGCTCCAGTGCATGGTCAAAACAGTGGTTGGCATATATTGAGGAAATCATGTAAACATGCAGTCAGATGTGAGCTGGAACATGGCCCTTGCAGAACGTGAATGCACAGAGGATTATGGATGTGGAACACCGTCCTGCTCTCTGGGAGCATCTGAAGCACAGCCTTGCCCCCATCTGTCTTTCAAGGACTCCTACCCAGCTCTGCAACACAGAAAGCTTCAGCTTCCTCCTTCTAACTTCTGCTCCTAGCTCTCTTTCCCTCCAGCAGGAAAAAGTGAGCTTATTTTCCCAACTCTTAGCTCCCAAGGGATTTTACTCTTAATTAGTATTGAGCAAATATAGCACAATATACAACCAAGATCTCCTTTGCTGAAGATTTCAGCATGTTACTCTCATTCAAGAAGCTGCACGCCAAAAATCACTTCCCTCTGGTCAAAAAGGGACACGGCTTTCAAATGTGCTTTGAAAACTCACACTTTGATAAATAGAGGAAGTATTTATAATGCTTGCAGAATATTTTAATTGGCTTCTTAGGAAGACAGAGGATTTCACTAATTCAGAACAAAAGTTAAGCTTTTTAAGTTACACTTTCAATCCATAGAAAAGGTTCATGTAAAAAGCTTTTTCTAATGCTAGGATTCAAGGTACTTCAGAAAGCTTTAATGAGATCTCTTTTAAATTATAATTACATTACCCCATACTTCACGCTGCTTCAAGAAAGTTGACAATAAAGACAGCAGCATTCACGCTGGCCATATTTTTGATATGAAACAAGGTGAAAGGACAAACATTTGATAAATTTCCGTAAGACAGAATTCATTTTATGCAGAAGCCTAGCTGTCAGATATTCAGTGCAACAATCTGCACTCATCACAAGGGCTGCTGGAAGGTTAAGTGAATACAGCACTTTATATGCCAGTTTCCTCCTTCTACTTCATTAAAAAGTTGGATATCAACTCACCAGTTTCCTGGGGGAAAGGTATTCATCCATAAGTAGTTCTCCATCATCTTTAATCAGTGGACTGGGATTTAGGTTACCTCGCCAACTCAAGTCAGTCACCCGGACTGCAGCTGAAGCTGGACGAGAAGCTCTGTCAGGATTCCACTTCAGGTCCTTCTTCATATGCTTTGGACAAAAGAATAATAAACATAGGGAAAAAAATCAGACTATTTATTATTTTCCCTTTAGCAAAAACTATTTTGACTCCTGTTGCAAGCTAGCAAGTAGCTGTAAAGACAGAGATTTCTCTAACCAGGAAAAAAAAACAGTGCAATGCATCACGTAACATTCATTCTTCCTTTCCTTCATCCTCTAGAGGTAGTCATAGAATCATAATAGTTGGAAAAAGACCTCTAAGATCATCTAGTCCAACTGTCCTCTAACCACTAAGACTGCCTATTAAATCACATCCTTAAGTACCACATCTCCATGGTTCCTGAGCACCTCCAGGGACAGTGACTACACTACCTCTGTGTGGAGCCTATTCCAACACTTCACCACTCTTTCTAAGAAGTCTTCCTAATATCCAGCCTGAACATCTGCCAGTACAACTTGAGGCCATTCACTCTCATTCTCTTGATGCTATCTGGGAGAAGAGGCCAATCCCAATCTCACCACAACCTGCTGTCAGGCAGTGGCAGAAGGCAATTAGGTCTCCCCTGAGTCTTCTCCAGACAGAACAATACCAGTTTCCTCAGCCACTCCTCATGAGGCTTGATGGAATCAAGTGTAAGACTTGACAGCCTTACCTCCACCAACTTACACTCTAAGCTTCTACAGCTGCACACCAATGGCTTTGTACAAGTTACTCAAGAACTGTAAACTCAGGACACTAATCCTCCCCAGTCTTCCCATTAGTCTCCTTGCCCTTCTCTGGTAGCTGAGAACTTCCCATCCAAAACAAGCCTGCTTTCTACCCATTCCCTCATAGAAACTCAAACAGCTCACAGCAAAACTCTGCTGGGCTTCAGGGTTGAAGCATGAGCATCAAAAGACATTGCTGCTTCTCTCCAGACTCTGCCTCTAGGCAGCACGTATAGCAGCTGTATACATTTCCTGTCCTAAATTAAACATGCTTGCACTGCTACTGATCGCCTTCTGGATCATCCAGGCCATATACTGACTGTTAGTTCTGAAGGAAATCTTTAAATTATACTTTAATTTTTCAAACAGATCTGCTTATGAGTTAGGCGAGGACTCAAATTCAGATTTTAAAGACAAAACGATTCAGAAGTGTGCATTCTTCAATTTCCAAATCTATTCCTTTTACAGAAATATTAACAATTAACTTTGAAATATGAGAATAAGCATACGCCTACCAATTGCAGACAACAAGCAATCAGTTGTACCCAAATGGTACAAGCATCACTATGATTTATACAGCTATTTACTACTACTTGGCAGCAATGAAGCACCACAGCTGGAAACATTGCTGTATCAACAACAGGCTAGACTAGAGAAAAGCCTTCTCACTCAGCTAACGAACACCTGCAGCTTCCTCTGGTTCTCCACTGTGAGGCAATACCCATTCTTAGTGCTGGAAAAGTAATTAAATAATCAAGGTAATCATAACTGGCTGATAAAGCTTCACTGGCAGCTCAGACCTACCTTCACCTTCATACTAATAAACTGTTAAACATGGAAGTAATTTCTGGCAGGAAAAACAGAAGAAACTGACTGCTCAGCTAGTAATTTCTATTCAAGAAGAGAGGCTGGTAAGAGAGGTTTACATCAAAAGAACTCATCTCCTCTTACTGCTCACATATAGTCAAAAGTCTTCATCTCGGCACAGGCAAGGGAAACCTGAAAGACTAAGAGCAGCCAAAGAGAACAGCAGCTTGCCATTAAGAAGAAAAACGGATCTCCAATACCAGACATCTTAGCTTTTGGGAAAAAAATATCTAGCCTATTCATTTCTAACACCTGCTTCTTTCTGCAAATAATTCCAGAATTTCTGGGGTCCTTTCCTGCACATTCCTTGGAGTAAGTCTTTATGATTTAGTCATTATATTGAGTTGTAACAATCATCCAAGGAAATTAAAAAAAAAAATTACACGATACAAAAGGTGTTCTGGTGATGACTTTATTTTTCTAATATTGCTTTTGCTCAAGAACTGCCTTGGATTAGAGTATCTGCTAAAAAAACACTGGAATACTTGCCAATTATAAAAGATTTGTTTGGGATCATGTGTAATACTGCTGATTCCTTCTAATTGAAGCAAGTATCATTATTATCCAGAGATAATCCTGCATGTCACTGGAGGCAGGTGGATCAATACTCAGAAATTACTGATGTAACAACTGAGTACAAAATGCACACAACAGCAAGACTGTGTAGATTAGGGCTGTAAGGAGTTAATACAATTGCATAAAACAAATTATTGTTCTCCTTCCTTCAGTCCATCGCTATTACACTTCAGAATGCTCTCCTCTCTTTGAAATATGTGTTGATACAGCATTTATTTATGGTTTGACAAAGCAGATCAATTTGTGGCTGAAGACCTGAAGTAACACTTCCAAATCTATATTTCCTGCTATCGATCCAGTGCTTGTAATTATTGTAACAATGGATTAGTAAGAGAAAAGTATTTTCATCGGAAATTTTCTGGGATGGAATTGAGTTACTGTCAGCAAACAAAGCTAATCTTTTGAACGTGCTTCCATGTTCAATGCTTCCATGTTCATGTAATGCAAAACTTTATCCAGAAAAGAATTTGCTCCTGAATATGGATGAAAATAACATCTTCAAAACAAGGGCTATTGAAAAAGAACACAGGAGTCCTAATGGTGAGGTGCCAACCTTATACAAAAATCCACAAGCCTCCAAACCTCTGGCATGGCGTAGGAGCCAGAAGAGGTCTGGCACCTGCAGATAGAGTCAGGTTGTGCACCATTTTCAGTGCTGCCTGACCCGAGACGGTTAAAATCCCTCCAGTAAAGCCATCTCACCCACTCATTTATAATACTAATAAATAAATGAGAAATCTATGGCTCTGTCAAACACACTGGCTAAGAGACCAATGACCGAAAGTAGTGTTGGCCTGAGGAAATGGTTCACAGAGGACTGGAAAGATTTCTTTGTCACTGAAGAGGTCTGAAAAGTCACGAATCCGAAGACTGACTCCACAGAACAGATGCTGCATTGGATAAACTTTGAATATATATGCAGAATGGTAATGCAGAACATTCCCGCAAGACTCTACAAACAAGACTGAGAAGGATGAAAGTTAATAGCACCAAACAAAAACCTTCAAAGAAATCAATGGGAAAGCAAAGCAACGCCAACAAGCAGTTGGGAGAGTCAGGGAAAAATTCATTCGTTGAAACAGAATGGAGTTTGTCCTGCACGTGAACACTGATAATAAAAGACTGAAAGAAATCAGCAGATTAATGTTTTCAGGATTTGCATCAGGGTTCTTGCTTTAGCAGTCTCTTCCTTGCAGATAACTAAAAGCAGACAATTAGTGAGTGCAGGAGAAATCAATGACTATAGCAATGAGATGGAAGATCTCAACTTTCTCTCCCAAAGTGAGTATGATAATGCTGAACGTTACAGTTTACAGGTGTGCTGTGAAGCTTCATTAAAATCTGTATGATGCTTTCAACATGCTTAGATTAACACCGCAACCAACATTCCCAAGGTTGAAGGAATATTAAGCATATTCAGTTTACCACTTGAAAGCCCACAATAACAGTGTTGCAAGTTGAACTTCTCTCGTACCTTTGCACTGAAGCCATCAGACAAGCTACCCAGCCATTTTGCAATACCAAGCCATCCATAAACCGAGAACAAATCAGTCTTTCACCATCTCTCAGAGCTCCCAAGAGTACCTCATAGCCCGTGTGATTTCAGGCTATAGACTACCAGTCCAGGAGAGTGGGTTTCTACCTGTCTATTCTCTGCTTTGGCTTCCATAGTTCCACTTTCCCAACTCCTAGCAAGATTCTGCTATTGATTTTAGGCTCTTCTAGCCCCAAACAAAGGAGGGATGACATCCCATAGAAAACCAAATCTCTACTCCCTTAGGCCAGCTTCTAAGTCAGTATCCTCTTTTGGTCCTTGGCTACCCACGATGTCCCAACGCTCCTCTGTATACAGTGTCATATCAGGTAGGGTACTGCAATCTGTATATCCTTATCATTATATCATCAGTCAAAAACTTCTCAGGAAGAAAAGTTTCAGAACCATTTTGCCACCCCTTAATGAGAGGAAACTCACAGTGAAGACTTTGCTTTCAGTTGCCTTGTATTATGTAATTTTTGTTTAATCCAGAACCAGAGATTACAGTACTGCTCATACTGTTACCACAAAGGATTTGTTGTTTACTAAGGATTTGACAAAGGTCTGGCTTATAAGGGCCACTCATGGTTCCCTTTGGTCTTATAACTGTGTGCAAGTGCACTACAGATAACCTCTTCTGGAAAATAACTATTTGGGCAGCTGGAATTTGCTATGATGTCATCAGGAAACTACTGTTACAATAATCCACTCCTGATGGCAAAAACAGTTCCTGCTACTTTTATGCAGTATAAGCATCCTGCAACAAACCACACTATTTTAGCAGGTGTGACTTTAAAAAGTTGAAAAATAAAACATCTGACCTGATATTAAGGGGAGTCTTTCATTTTTAAATGGGTGATACTGTATTGATCTTCTGTTTTCCTGAAACAGGAGGTGGTAAAATGCACTTCAATGCTGCTATAACAACAGGGGATCACAATAACACTATGAAGAGCATTTATGAACATTCCACTTGTATGGGCCCTTATAGAAAAAACTAAAGCTTTTACGAGAATGCTGAAATATCAAGAAGAATTCTCTTTCCATTTAACATAATAAAAAATTCACTGACTTCTATGACATTGAATGACTCAAATGTTTACAATAGCAGTTTTGTTTAACCCTTTCGAGAAATTTTGAGAAATTTGAAGCTTTGGGTCACAGAATCACAGAATGACCCAGGTTGGAAGGGACCTCAAGGATCATGAATCTCCAAACTCCCACCACATGCAGGGCCACCAACCTCCCCATTTAATACTAGACCAGGCTGCCCAGGGCCCCACCCAACCCAGCCTTGAACACCTCCAGGGACGGGGCATCCACAACCTCCCTGGGCAGCCTGTTC